CCCCAAAACCCCAAAACCCCAAAACCCCAAATTTAGTAATTATAATTGAAATATGGAAGCAAATAGCTTTAAACAGAGATTTTACTCTCGAACTCCTTCACTGAGGATCAAGAATAAATTTAGTGAAGTAAGTACACCCTTCAACATTCTAGGAGTCTAAAGATGGATTTGGCTATTATACTAAAGAGAAGGAGAGAAATGATTTTATTCTAATGCGGGATGACTGTGATGTCCAGGATACTGAAATTTGTATGAACATAGACTTCATTCCTCTAGCACCAAGTAATAACGTTACCGCATTCAAATAAACCTCCTAACAATTCAATTAGTCCTTCGAAAAATATGCTGCTGAATTGTAAGATTTTTACTTGAAATTTTGTGTCATTTTATTTGCTTAATTTAAAATAAAACTAATTTGGCTCTAGAACAAATTTTGATGAAAATTAGGTCTCATATGCTAAGAGAAATTTTGGGGTTGGAGCTAGGCTTAGCAACTAATTTTAGAGGGGTTAAGAGTGATTAAGGTTCATTTTCGATATAGATAACTTTGAAAATGAAGGAAATGCATGTGAGAGCCCAAATTTCGGATCTACAAAAGTAGAGACTTATTCCCGTCCGAGTATTCCAAACAAGAATCTGTTCACATTCTCTGCTAAATAAACCATTTTTCCCTCGTCAGAGTTTGGGAGATGAGATTTATGAGAAGAAGAGTTCAGGTATTGCTTAAAATCCCTTTCATATTTCACCAATGTCTTTTAGAGTCGAATCATAGGAAAATCCAACACTCTCGTAATCACCCACTTATCAAGCACTCAAAGACACAAAAACCGCGAAAATATAGGAAGAGTAAGTTGTTTCTAATCTTTAGAGCCAAAGAAGAAGCTACGCCAATGAAAGCTCATATTCGAAAATAGTACTCTTGCTTAATTCTAAATATAGATGGTGACTACTATTCCATAAACATTCAAAGATGAAGAGTTTAGCTATAGCTAGAACTTATGAAATGTTTGAAAACTGTGGTTAAGAAGTCTGACATATTTAAACTACAGATAACTAAGCACAGTTTCGTTAGTAACACTCACTTTATATACAGAGAAATGGTTCTTTAGAAAAGATCTTTTAAGACCAACTAATCACACTCTGAGTTAACTATCTTGCTCAGGAATACTCATATGATTTTACAGTTATGGAAAATTAATAGATCAAATTTTAATCAAAGTAGAAATTAGAGTAATTATTAAAGAATACTCATTCTGATGAATTAGAATCAATGCTTTAGAGAATAACTGAGATAAAGCTGGCTTAATGTATGCTTAAGCTGCAAACTAATTTAATAAATATATCGCTCAGACTTGATGCCAACTCTTTGTAGATAATACAGATCTTAAACTTTTTAGTTGAGCAGAGCTATTAAAGTTGAATATATACAACTTCAGCTTATGATGTATCCAAACTTTACTCATCATGTCTAATCAGTTCATCATAATTAAGCCAATATACGGTGACGTTGTAGTCTTCACTCTGTTAATACTAACTGTCATCTATAGTTCAACTAGGCCATGAAAGAACCTTGTTTGACAAGAAAGGAAGAAACGAAGGAGAAACAGAATATTACATTGGTAAGCATTACTAGAAGATTTATAGTTTACGAAGTTTAAATCAATCAAGTTGAATAGTTTTGGGGTTTTGGGGTTTTGGGGTTTTGGGGTTTTGGGGTTTTGGGG